GAAAACCCTACTAAAATGAGGTTAGTGCAAAAAAATGCGAACTGAATGCGCTACCTGCGCGCCAATGGAATCGAGCAAGCACGTCAACCGATGAAGAAGGCTTGGCGTCAAGCGGTGGTTGTGATATTGTAGAAGGTCAGGGCCGCGCAGCAGCGCAGAATGAGCCACCAGCTGCAAACAGGAGACTGCAAGCGCATTTCCACAAAGCAACCTTCAGTAAATTTGGCGCAGATTTTGAGGGCCAACTCTGGAGATTGTAAAGTGTGTGTGCGGGCTGCAATATTTGCGCTCGGTGTGGGCCCTTCGAGACTTCAGCGAGCACCCTTCGTTGCACAGCAGTCTGTTTTTTTGTTGGTGTCATTGCGGTGTTCGGCCATCATTTCTCGGAAACCTTGTCCTCTGCGCAGGTACTGCATGGTCTGCCTGACAGGCGCAAGAAAGGTGACAGGACACCGCACATGAACTCTGCCAATCAGCTTGCCGCAGCAAATGAGTTTCTGTGCCTCCGTTATCACTATGACGGTGAGTTTCTTCCAGACCAATTTCATTTTGATGGTTTGGAGCAGGCTGGGAGTTTTATTGGAGGCCGTGAGAAGAGAAAACACACTGGCGAGCTCTCAGAAGCCAGCGACTCAGAGCGTGAGCAAGACACGCCGGACCGGGCAGAGGAGGATACAAGGGCACTCTCGGCCATGGCTGTCGAATCCATCATCATGAACGACCCCTTCAGAACTGCATTGATTGGCCCAGGCCAAAGACCGGGGCCGCGCCGGTATTTGGGAATTGTCAAGCCCATCGCGTTGCATGAGATGATGTGTCAGTGGTGCCACGATCTGAACAAGTGTTCTCTACAAGCGCGCTCTGAGAAAAAGCGCTACAGCCACAGACAGGGCAGACCTGGTAGAAAGATATGCCCAGCACTTGCTGCAAATGTGGCGTGACCGCCAGGCAGAGAGCGCTTGGCATGCCCAGGCTTGCCAAGCGCGAAAAGCAGTCAGAATGGCGCTAGATTGGAAGATGTGCCAGATTCAACTCTCCTCATTCGCTCAGACGCCCTTGACCAGGCGAAGCACCGAATACCACGAGTTTTGGTCAAGCCGAAAAGCTTTGAGTCGATCATCAGACCTGCCGCGCATTGCCACATGAGTTGGTTCCATGCTTATGACGTTGCCTTTGCTATAAGTGACGCTGACTTTCACAAAGACACGTGCACACATTTGGATCAGCTGGCCAGGGGTCTCTCCAGAATATTTGATAGCTTGAGGGCGTTGCCTCGACGGGTCACACTTGTTCTTGACAACGCGTCGTCAAACAATCAGAATCAAATTATGGTCCGCTTTTGGCTTAAATGCAAGCTCCTGGGCATCTTCGATCAGGTGTACTTGGCCTTTCCGGTGAAAGGGGCACACGCTTTCCCCGCTGGACAGCCTGGGAGGCCATGCTGTCGTCCGCTGCTGCAACAGCACTGTGGCGATTCAGTCGCAAAAGGTTAGCGAAATAAATCTGTTTTCTTGCAAAGATGCTGTTTTCCGGAAATATACAGTAACTATACCAACTGCCATGTAAACTTGTGGGAGGTTTACTAAAAGTTATAGCCGCCCCCTAAGTGCAGGCTAGAATAAAATGAAGTTGGCGCTCGCTTAGCTTGTGGTTGCCGCCTGCTTGACGCCAACTTAGTACTACAACCCAACCAACCTCGCCGCGGATGGTCTTTATCTTTTTTGTTTCTGGGAATTGTCCTTTGAAATGCTTTGAAGGCAGGCAGACAATCTTTGCACACTGGGTGGTGTGCCTTCCATTCCCTCAGGTGTGCTGGCTCTTCAGCGGCTTGGAGATTGGCCGCCTTCAACTGCAGCTTTCCGTGCAGCCGGAGGGCCTGCACCCACGCCGCCACATTGCAGCATCGATGCGTGCAAAGGTGAAGCAGGAAGCTGATTTGCGGAAAGAGCGGAGTGCAATCACTGCGGCAGCCCACAGCTATTTGACGGGTTGGGTGACAGAAACGCTGAGACGAGAGCCACGGCCAGACAGCTATTCCTTTTTGGAGTGGCGCAGAAGCCCAGCAATGCCGCGCAGAGCACAACCTGCAGTCAACCCCTTCGAGCAGGGGGCCCCTCGTTTGATCCGAGTCTTGCGCCAAGACGGCAGCCAAGCAGTGGACCGGCCCGCTTCTGCTGACGAGGCGGAATGTGTTATTCAGGACGAGCGTTTGGCGAGCAACGCCGTCTTTGAGAAGCCCACTGAGAATGTGCAAAAAGCTAAGCGACGAAGAGCAAATAAACGTTAAGCAGGCCATGTCAACAAGTAAGATTTGCACAAAATGTTGACCCCAAGAAGTAATCTTTAGAGCTATTTTCTTACTTCATGGGCGTTTCCCGGCCTCCTTTCATCATAGGGGTGCCCCCCACCATCCCCCCACCAGCGCACGCAGCCCTTGACCTGGCCTGCTTCGCGTCTCACCTCACGAAGGCAGCGGTTCGACCTCCGGAACTGCCCGTCAACGCGGCCAGTCAATGCTAAAGCCAGCAGTCTAATTTTGAGCCCACATAAAGGTGTTTCAACAGCCTCGATTCAGGCCCTCTTTTAAGGGAGACCAAAAGGAGGTTGCTTAGCCAGTTGTTCCAACATGCTTAGGCAAGGTGGCCCAACCCTGATTTTGACAAGTTGAACTAGTTGTCCAAAACCTGTGTGAGTTGTTGGCTCCCCCAGGTTGGCCTATTGTTTCTGAAATGTTTCCCCGTGTTGATCCAGGGTTTTTCCTTCTGGACTTATGCCCAAACAAAATCCTCAAACGCGAACACTCCGCGCCTTAAAGGTGTGGGTCCTGGTCCAGGAGGCGTCTCCGGCAGCGAGCGCTTCCACGGCAGCGCTTCGAGTTTTTGAGGGGGGGCTCAATGGGCCTTCAAGAAGGCCACCGCGATGACTCAGTCCCAACCAAAGCGAAGCGCCTTGTTTAAAATTAAACTAGTATATAATATAAGCGATCTCCACTATTGGACGTTTTGTTTTTAATGGTTTTTTGGGTTGGCACGATTTGGAAACCTGGCTTTCATGACCCGAGGAGTCAACTACGAGAAACATATGTGCACATGTTGCCTCTTTGATCCAACAGGTCAGATATCCCCGAAGCGCCGTTTCTCACCAGTGGGTTGAGGATAGCCCCCAACTTGTGGTGTTCACAAAGGGAAGATGCCCATGACAAGGACCCCCTGATCAACCGTGTGCATAAGTAGAAAGCACGGCGAGTATCCAACCTGCAGCCTCCATTGATACGTTAATTGTTGCTCGAAATATTTCCACTTTTTTTGCGCCGAGTTGCGCTCGTTTTGCACTGTTTTTGCGCTCGTTTCGTTGAAGACTCTTCCCAAACTCGCGCCTGTGAGGGGATATGAAACTAGAGAGCTGGATTTCTGCTCGAATCCGAAAAGAATGCTCGAAAGCAATTGTGGAGGAAAAAGCGCTACAACGTGTCAATTCGTGTATCGAACCAGGGGGGAAACATACATTTTTGCTACGATGGAGGCTCCAGGAAACCTGCAATGGGGCATATTTGCTTTGAAACCGCATTCAGGGAAAACATGAAACAGGCTCACTCAGGAAGCCAGAAATGAGGCGTTTCATCCACATGAAGGAAACGTAAAAAAAAGATGAATAATATCAGTCAGAAACAAATTGTAAAGAAAATGCAAACAATGAAAAAGTAAGCATGCCACTGATTGGAAGGTATAGGCATCAAGCTTTTTCAGACTTGTCCTCTATTGTTTCCAGAACTCGTGTCCCGGACCAACCATTCACATTCAACCACCATGACACATTCACTAAGGTTTGAGGGCAAAATAAACTCAACCCGGATTTTGCAAGTGAGCTGACGCTTGTTTTTTCTGGTGGCTGAAAAAAACCTTGTCAGTGACATCCTGCAGTACCCCACAGCGCTGGCTTTGTGATATGTTTTTTTTCAACTAGTTTACCAACATCGAACACATGTCGGAGAGTAGCGCCTGCGTGTTTGCCACTTCAATGTGCCTTTCAGGCGTGTGGAATAATTATCCAAATACTGAAAGGACAAAACCGTGAAAACACCAAATACAAATGAAAATACCAAATACCATGGCACTGGCTTCTTGAGCAGTTTTCTTTTTGACGTTTCTTTGGCCTTGCAGGACCCTAGGAAATTGCTGTGGCAACTAGCAGGGGCGGCATTTGGTCTTATGTATGGAGTATGTATTAGAGTTCGGGAAAGTTCCAGGATGGTCCTCGATTCGTTTGTCTTGGCAACAGTTTTGAATAAGGGGGCTATGCTCACGGACGGGCAATGTAAGGCACCCCACCTTTTGGCAGACTTGCGGGAGCATGCTGTGCATAGATCCAATCCAGACTTGGCGCACGTGGCGCTTGGCTTCCACATCGTCATTTTTCTGCATGAGTGACCCCTTCCAGACATCGAAACCCAATATCCGGCATTCGGTGCAAGATTCGCCGCAAAAGTGCAAGGATCTTGCTGCCAGTTTCCCCACATGGAGCTGGAGCTGCCAAAATTGCTCTGTGTTCTACACATACACCGAAAAGTCGCGACTCTTGAGCTGGAGCTGCTGAATTGTGCTCAAAGGCTCACTTCTTTACCGCATGAATTGGGTGGCTTCCGCAAAAGTAGCCCTGCGAAAGTTCCACTCATTTCAGAACCTGTTTGTGCATATTCCTTGTCCTTATGTTCTCCCTTTAAACCAACCTTTAAACAGGTACCCCCCAAATAGTGCAGACGCATCGACACATGGCTTCGTTGCTTTCCTTCCCAGCGACCCTAAAAAAAGGCTACCCCCCAAAACGGCTCATCCCTCGGGCTTCGCGTTTGGTTTGAGGGTCCCCCCCGTTGTCCAGGGTTCCCTTTATTTCCCTCTTTGGTGGTTTTAAACATCGCGTTTATGAAAGGTTTTTGTATTTTTTGGTGGGGGTGGTGTGTGAAGGGGAAATATAGGGTCTGTGTTCCGTTTTCGGATCCTGAGGCTGGGCCGGGTATCACGGCGCCAGCTGCGCCTCGCGCAATGCCTCGCTGCTGGCGCACGGCGAGGCGGCCTTCGGCATCAACGTGGCGCTGACGCCCAGCACCTTTGTGGACGCAGCCTGGCTTTGCAGGTGAGCCACAATCGCCCGGGGATAGATGAAGATAAGTCCCAGCAAGAATTCGTGGCCGCCTTCTTAATTCTTGAAGCATGGCCCTGGGTAGACCATTTTAATACCGGGTTTTGATTGTGACTCAGGTGGAGTTTGCACCCCTAGGCACCCAGCGGGTTGCGGTTTTGCCCCCCGTGTTTGTCGTCGATGATGTTTTCAGGGGGGGTGCAGGGTTGCCCTTGAGAATCAACCAAAGCAGAGTGTGGTTGAAAGGGGGGTCAAAAGGAACATTCCGATATTGACTGTCGTTTAACTTGAGCTTTCCATTCATAGTCAACGCCAACCAGGAGTTTGTTCTTTTTGGATCCGGAAAAACAGTACCCACGAAACCAATGACGCAGGCCCTGCACCTGATAATTGAATTCTTGTTTCAGGTGTTGTTTTTTTGGAAAATGGTGGAAAGCAACCTTTAATCGAGGTTGGGGTTGAGATAGAGAGTGGCTGGGTGGCTGGGTGGGTGGGGGGGAAGGTCCGCAGCGAAATGTGCACTCTGATTGAATAAACAGTGTTGAAATGTTAACTCATGCGTAAAGCACCTGTTATTGGAAGTCTAGGCTTTTATTTGACATAGATGAATGTTTATATTTAGAACAATACAGCAGTATTTTAAGCCAGAAGTTAAGATCGGATGCTTTCCTTATTGAGTTCTGATTAAAATCAGTTGGACCCATGGGTGGCTTGCCTGGGCTATTGCTAAGATCGCCTCATTTTGAGAAGTCTCAGGTTATGAAGACCTCGCGGAGGCACGTTGGATTCGCTCGGATCGATCGACTTGAAGCAGACCTGGAGATCTAAGCCCAAGATGGGCTTTGGTCACCTCGGTGACAAGCAGCTATCAAACACGCAACCCTGAACCCTACCGCGCCTAAGTCGCCCCTTAAGCTCGCGTTTTTTCCACTTCCTGAGTTCTGGAACTCAGGCTTTAGTCACTTTGGCTTCGCTGTTCTTGGCATGTTTTTTAGTTTTTTAGCTTTTTGGTTCTGTTCATTTTTACTGGGGGTCTGCAAAAAACAGTCAGTTTTTTGCTACCATACCAAGAGTAGAGATGTTGGGGTTTGGACCAGTTTCGTGGAAATCCGCTCCTGCGTGAGCCAAAGGGTTAGGACTCCGTTGATTCGGGTCAGGAGACTCCGAACACCTAGTGGCAATTCCTGTTTGCTTGTTTCTTGGGGGGAGGGGGGAGGGGGGCGGGGGTGGGGGAGCGGGGGAGGGGGTTCCAGTTAAACTCGACGGCCTATACAAGCGGCACCCGGTCTTTTCGTTGGAAATCCACTGGAGTTCTGGCACGTTTCGGCACGGCCGTTGTTGAAAGTCTGCAGTTCGCCAATCCACCCAAGTGAGCAATGGGGAACGGAAGCAAACAGGACTGTTTCTTTGACTGAGGTGACTTAGAGGAGATTTACGGCACCTTGTGGCTTAAATGTTGAAAGAGCAAACCAGATGATGACGCTACACCGATCCCAGGCAAGCCGCTGTAGTAGGAAGCCCTTTGAAGGGACGTAAGGCGCGACCACTTTGCACCACCTGGTGGCTGGATTCGGCAAAGAAGACAAATCACACGATCTGCGGGATCAATCATTGCAACTTGTCACTTTACGGGGCTTGCCCATTTGTTCAATCGGCGACTGGAGCCATAGCGCGGAGAGCCATGGCAGCAAAACCGCCCCGACTACTTTTGTCGGTGCCCTGAGGTTTGTTCTGGCTCCCGTTTGGATCAGTAAGTGACTGGTGCAACGTTTGGAGGGAAGTACCAGTGGAGCCAGAATCCGGCACCTAGGATAGACAGCCCCACAAAAGTTCCTGAACCGCATACCAAATGGTGCGAGGCGAATATCGTCTAGGGTATGATTTGAACCCTGCTAGCCTGTGACACCTACTTGAGCCATTCACAACTTCGTCGAGGGCTCAGGCCCAAATCCATGGTCACCAATCCAAAGCCATCAACACCAATGCAAGCGGCGTGGAAACCAATCTAAAATCCAAACAATCTTCAAGGCCAACATCTGATCCATTGCAAAAGGGCTACAGTCTTTCGGGTGACTTGCAGGTTTCATTTTCCTGGCGACGTGTTAGGGTCGCTTTCAGGCTCTTCTCGCCAGGTGGACCAGCATTTGGGACGCGGACACCCAGCCGGGCCAGTTCTCGTACCAGAGCGGCACTGTGATGTGGTCCAGCCGCCAGTACGAGTGGGGCAACGGCCAGGCAGGGCAGCAGGGCCGGGAGATGGGGATTCGAGAGACCGAATGGCCCAAAAGGAGGAAACCGGGCTTCGGGTTTACAAAGTTGTGGCTTTTACAAATCACCTACGAAAGGGTCAATCACGATGTTTTGCTCCAGGAAGATGGTGGTTTCGGGCGCAAGTATCAGTTTTTAAAGCATCGGCATCGGCAAAGTATCTTTCGTGTTTAGATACGGCTGGGGTTCCCTTTGTTTTTCAATTCGAACCTTGCGAGAGCCAGTCAGACCTCGTATCACATGGCTTGTCAAGTCATCAGCGCCCAAAAACATGATTGGCATTTTAGTAGCTGGCTCTACTTCCTGATCTTATGTTTCAAGGATTTCTTAAGACCTGTATAGAAACAACAGTCAATAGGTTTACCCTCCCACTAACATGGTTTCTGACAGAGGGGCACTGCAAAAGGAAATTGGTCTTCCAGACCCCCCCCCCTCCCGGAACCTGACAGAGGGTCACTGCAAAAGGAAATTGGTCTTCCAGAACCCTGTCAGGTTCCATGCTAATTGGTGGGAGGGTATATACTACAACCATGAAGTGTGTCGCTCAAGTGACCTCCTTTGCGCTCTTTCGCTGCTTGAAGGGGTAGCCGGTAGGCGATCACCCAAGATGCGGACGGCTACGTGACCTCACTGGAAAAGGACTCGGAGCCAGCCGCTAGTTTTCAGACCCACCAGGTTCGAATGAGAACTGGGCCCCTTAACATGAACATCTTGAGTGATGAAACTAATCACGTTGGGTGCTGGTTTTTCTTTGATTCGCAACTTCGAGGGGAAAAAAACTTATCCAAAGCGAATCAACCTTGGGAAGTTTCCCTGATGTGGTCCATAGTTTGTCTTTCCGAAAAGTTAGCCTTGTATTTCCAGGTCAGCGAGTACTTAAGAATCTTTGCAGGTGGGGGGGGGGTGTTCGGTTTCTCCACCATTTCTCCAGGATCTGTAAACCGTTTCTGGGCTCCTCACTTAAAAGGCAGGTGCTCCGGGGCTCGAGTTTTCCACATGGCAAGATTAATGAGTCACGAACCTTTCCTCGCTTGCCAGCAACCGGCTGACTTTGATGGAGGGCATTCTTGTGCTTAGGGACCTCGTGTTTGTCCAAAGAGAACCAAGCCGGCATTTCCAGGGTTTCCATTCTTCCAGAGGCTATAGACGTATATATCCGGGCTCGAGGGGCATTGTCATGGTTTATGAGGACAACCAGACCTCCACTGGATCACTTTTCGGAGGGGGGTTCCCTTTAAAATTATGGCCCCTGCTTGGGTGCTCGATTTGCCAAGTTAGTAAGTGTTTAGTACCCATGTTATAACTTTATCACCTATAGTTGCAACCGGCCCAACTCACTCAAAAGTAGGCTACACCCTAGGTTACCAACCACTTGGCTTGGCGAATCGAACACCTAAGTGAGCGTTGTCCCTCCGATGGTTTTCCCGTGTTTCCGTCGGCCACGTCAGGACCAGTCGGTGATTACCTTGACCCTGCGCGACGTGTGCCTTCATGCGCCCAAGGGCCGGTACCCTGGCCAGGAGGCGCTCGCTCACCTGGTGGCTTCCATTTGTTTAAGAATGTGTTTTTCTTTTCCCCTGTTGGTTTTAAAAGGAATCGATCACTACTGGAAATATGTTCATTTTCCAGGGGTCTTGAGCGAATGGAAGTTTTGGAATCCAGTTGTGCGAACGCTTGAGGCCGGACCCACGGTTTTTGGTTGCAGAACTTTTGCCGCAGAACTTTTGCTGGTCGGGGAAAATGAGAACCCCAACATCTCTCACCAGTAAAAAGAGCGTAGACATCAATGACTGTTTGCCTGGAAATCACGGAGACACAACAAATGAAATGCAAACAGCTCGTCAAGTCGCCACAAGTTACCAGCTCGCCGGTCAAACAGAAGTAAACCCAGACAGGGGCAAACACAAACTCGTTAAGTCGCAGATAAATTTCAATCAGGGATCCAAAGGAGCCCAAACAGGGCAGAAGTTGATGCTACCCTTAAGCAAACACACACACACACCAGCAAATAAATAAGAATAACTGAAGAGAGTTATGGGGACCCCTGTGGTATATGGTGAAGAACCCGGTTTTCCCACGCATAACACAACGCTTCAACTTTCCGATTTGACACACGCAGTTGACTCTTTGCAGGTTGGATCACTCTGAGGTATGTGGTAACGTACGACGGGGACGGCGAGCTCGACTTTGGCTTCGACGCGGTGCCGGCGGCATTTCAGAAAGGCAGGGAATGAGTCCAGCGCACGGCTGCCGAAGGAAATTGGAGCAGGGCCTGGGTGCCTTCCATTTGCGTTTCAGATGGGTATTCGTCCTGTTGGTTTCCCTTAAGCAAAAGCTAGAAAATCGTTGAAACGAATTGTTCGATGTTAAAGGGAATCTATCACTACTACAAATATGCTGTTATTTTGCCGGGGGCTTAAGAGAATGAACGGTGCTTTTACGTCAACCTTTGTCATGGTTATGGGGGAGAAATCTATGAGTAAGTCTTCAAGCCCTTATATTGCCCTTCCCCCGACACCCAATACCCCTTTCAAGTTGGGTATGTGACCATGGGGCCATGTTGAAAGGACGCTTACAAGGTTGTCCCTGCTACACAACCCGCTTTTAGCAGGGTATACTTGGATGCTCTGCCTTATAACCTTAGTTGCCAACGACTTACTAAGTGCGCCAAACACCCAAGCAGGGAGTGTTTTGCCAGCCCCTGACTAAAAGCAGGGGTAATTTAGGCGTGGGAACATCACACACGCACACGGAGGTTCACTTTTTTTTCACATATGGCCATGGGGCATAACCTATGGCTCCATTTTGGGGTGGATGAACATCCATTTGCCACCTATTTTGATGTTCACCAGGGGTACAGGGTTTTGACCCACAGCCATATGAGGAAGGTTCCTTTTACGGGGAGCCTTTCAAAAAGACCTCAAATCATGAGGTCATGGGACCCTGGGGATATGCCGGGAAGCCCGAAGTCGTTTCGCGATGGCACTGGTGGGCTTTTTCGGTGTGACCGCATCGCCTTTTGGACCTGGAAATCCGGCTGTTCAAACTGCAAAAAAAACTAGGGGTTGATTCCTTTTCCATGCTTTTCAACCATCTTTTCTCAAAAACCGATCGCTGTTCTTGTGGGTTTTGGGTTTCCTGAAAAGATTCGAAAGAATGGAATTGGAAGGTAGCCCTGAAAAAATGTGATCAAGCTTTTGCTCGTTCCAGCGCCTTTCATCGGTACAGAAGTGTTGCAACTTCCACCCCAGACACCCAGTGGGTCGCTCCCTTTTTACTTTTTTTTTGTGTTTTTTTTGAACCCAATATCAACCAAACAGCCTTTAAGATCAATAAGGATCAACCAAAAAACCTTTTAAATCAATAAAATCCACGAAACAGCCTTGAAAATCAACAAACCTCAACCAACCGAAAACAGGCCGCTGCTTGTTTTTTTTCCTCCCGGGTCTGGGAGTGCAGGCCGCATCGATGTGGACTTCACCCCTACCTGCCGGCGTGAGTGTTGGTTTGATAAGGCGGGCTGGCGCCTTGGCTTTGAGAAGCGACGGAGCAACTCGTGTCAGCTTTACCGGGACTCGCACGGAGGAGTCGGCTTTCTTAGGGGGGTGGTTGGGAGTTGGTTGAAACGGTCCTTGGTGGACACGTTTTGGTTGATTGAAAAGCACGAAGGAGTTGGTTCAAACTTTCTTGGGGGGGTGGTTGAAACAAAAAATGGTGGCAAAATTGAAAAGGTTTGGAAATAATAGATTGGCAAAACTCGATCGAACATGTCTGGATTGAGGAGGTTGCTTTGGTTTGTCTTCCAAAGGGGTGTCCCATCAATGTAGGGGTTTGCCATCTTTGTTGTTTCTCCTTCGGGTGGTGCCCTGTTTTAGGTAGCTCCGGCTAGAATGAAGTGAAAAGGGGAGGCCTTTGTTTCCATTGGAAATTCACTGGAGATCTGGGCAAAGGTTGATTCCCACCAGGCGCTACCCATCCTTTTCAAGAATACGTGTTCCTTTACGCTGTTGTTGATCAAATAGTTGTTTGGTTCAAGGTTCTGCTCCTTGTTCGTGCGGGGGCTGCAAACAACGCGGTTGTTTGGCTTCCATACCAAGGCTTGGGAAGATTCTCGAGGTGTTGGACCATCGTGTGAAAAGAACGGTCTGAAAAAAATGGCAAGGGGCCGACTGGATCAGTACTGGAAGGCTCCAGTGACGCATAACCACCTCACAAAGATACGTGGGCCTCGAATTCAGATTCAAAAGGAGCATGGAAGCTGTTTCGATGTCTGATCTGATGTCCTTCGCCACAAAATCAAGGTCAAGCAACAAACTAATATGAAACCCCAAAAGCCGTTTTTTGTTATCTCCTTTTGGGGAACCCCTTCTTGGGTTCCATGTTATTTTTCCCCAACAGCTGGAAGCTTTGGGGTCTCAGCCTAGATAGGCTCCGGGGTGGTCCGGGGCGGCCCCGAAGAAAGGTTCCAGGGGTTCCACCAGGGTTCCACGAGGCTCTGCGAGGGCTGCGGGGTGGTGCGAGCACTAAAAAGAGCACCGCATGCTGTTGGGGATATCACCTGAGCTTATTTACTATTTGTTCCGCGGAACGCGGCGACTTACAGCATTTTGGAGTGTTTTCCTCGTTGCCTTGGAACTGTTCACACCCGACGGGTTTCGACCCTCGGGACAAGGCTCGCGTATTGCAGCGACAATGGCATCGGCATCACCATCCGGCGGGTGAATCCGGCCAACCCTCTTCGCAACATCCAAATCATCATGCCAGGCTGGAAGCGGCTTGACGCGGCCACGGTGGATGGTTGCGAAATCCATTCCGCACCACTTCGGACCCATGGGAGAGCAGTGCTGGTTGGTATTTACAGGGGGATCATCATTTCAGGGCGCCAGAACCGCAGAGGCGTCCACTTTTAAATGATCACGAAAAAGAGGCAATGTACAGAACATAAAAATAAACTACTAGGTAGTTTTGACATTGGTCTGGGGCAGCTTTGAACCATGGAAATGCTGGTGTCACCGGCTGTTTGGCCAAAAAAAACGCCAACCTGCACTCCAGCGAGGCTTCTTCGCGACCCACGAGCACGAGCCCTTCCATCCCTGGTTCCTGAAACTCAGTCTTTTCAGCTTCGGGTTTCTACTTTTTTGTCCATGTTGGTCAAGGAAGGTCCCAAATGGGGTAGTAGTAGTCTTCATGACCCTTACATGGGGTCATGGCATCTTGTTTGTTGTATTTGACCCCCATGTCTTTGGGGTTCCCTCTTAAAATCGGGTGACTCATGACATCCCTTACTTTCGGTTGTCTGGGTTTCATTTTTTTGTGCGGGTCAGAGAGGGACTCCAGGTCTTTGCATTGCCAGGCGAATCACATGCCTGTTTGGCTGTTGCCGTTTGGGCTTTCTCTCATTTCCCTGGAATCAGCAATACATGCCATGGAAGCTCCACTCAAGGGCCTCTGTCAATGGCCTCAAGTCTTCCAACTGGGTCCTGGCTTCCATGGAATCGCCTGGAGGGTGTATGGGTCGGTGTGGAGGGGTAGGTTGTGTGTTCAGGGTGGGTCTGGACCCCAGTGCGGGGTGTGGGGTATGTGGGGTATGACGTTTCGCCCAGGAAGAACCTGGAGCGGTTCTCTACGGTGCGCTTCATGGATTGGACCCACGCCAACTCCGAGTCATGGCAGTCTGAGGGCGCGCCGCGAACCAACCGCTCAGAACCGTGTGACCCATAAAAGCCGGGCGATGCATCCTTTCTTTAGGACTGGCACCCCCGAAAAGGATGGTTTTTCGCTTGGTTTTAAGTCTGCTTTTGGTGTTCGTTTTGATTTTCCTTCTAAAACCACAAAAAGGGACTGCCAACTCCAAGAAAGACACCCAAGCAAGCTTTGAACACCAAACGGCAAGTTGCTGGTACCAACTGAGATACTCTGGGCTACAAATTAACTCATGGAATCCAAAGGCCCAACGCTCAAACGGATGGATTTTTGGCTTCCATGTGGTGTGTTGTTTTGAGGGCCCTGTTTCTGGTTGGTCAAGGGGAAGCCAAAAGAAAAGCCCCGCGGCGGGGGCGGGGTTGTTCAATGCACACGCGCTCAACAACCCATCATGTTGGCTTATTGTTGAGTTTCTGCGCTTTAAACTTTTTTGGGTTGGACCATTTTGGTGGTAAACAACAAGGTTGGTTTCTTTTTTTTGGCAATCCACCCAAAGAAACATGGGCTGGTTACCTACTGTGCATATATATATATAGATAAGTAGTTGGGATCCGCTGGGAAAAGGAAGGCCAGCATTTTGGGGGGTCACTTTAAAAAAGACTCACCCACTTTTTGCCAGAGCGCCTGTCTAGGGACGAAGAAGTCGTGTGCTGGCGGAACGGGTTCCCTTGTCTTGGAACGAGTGGTCAGAAATGCGGTGTCCGCTTGGCATGTGTCAGAGGGATCCATTCTTTAAACCAACAAGAAGACCTCCTTGAGTTCCGTTTCGGACTTTAGTCACTTTTTGGGTTTTAGTGGCAAACAGTAATACTTGTTTGGGCCATCCACTCAGGAACGAGAGCTGGAGGAAGTGCACTGATTGTTTCTTGCATCCTTACCTCTTCAGCTCCAGGAACTGAACTGCTGGGACGAGTTGTGCTTGAACAGCATTTTGCCCAAGCAAGGTCTTGGGCAACTGGGGTCTCCAAACCAAAACAATGTTATCCGTTGGCTATGAATACGGTTTGGAAACAAGCTTGGCTTTTCCACAAAACCTCAAGGTAGATTACCTTCTGCGTGTGGCTTTCAGGGAGAAACCCACTTGAAAGACCACTTTCCATTTGAACAAAAGGCCACCGGGGGTAGTCAAACGGGAGTGTCTATTTTCGGGGACCCCCCCCCCACCCCCGAAAATAATTAAGATAGAAAAATGAATACATCGAAACTTTCCCTAGCTTCCCCTTTCAAGCATAAACAAACACGGAGCACCACCAAAAAAGAGAAGAAATAAAAAAGCGAGGGGAGGCCACAGCCCAACATACTTCTCAAACCCCCGGGCCTATCGCATGGGACCTGAGGAGGCGCTCTTCAAGCTCACTCCCACGGATGCGCGCTACGCGCGCTTTACCTCCACGGCCACCCACGGAGGCTCCTTGCCCAGGACCGACGCGCGAAAGAGGAAAAAAGCACGCAGAATGAAAGACGCGGGCGCCCGGTGGGACACGCTTGGACGACCCGGGGATGTTTGCGTTTTTCTTGTTTAGTGGCTTTTGTTCTGTTGAAGGAGTAATTGTTGCTTTTTGAGGTTCCCCTCTTGGAGTTGCTCTAAACGGACATGTTCTTCCACCCCATCGACCTGGTTTTTCCATGTCAACCCCATGTCCGGGGGGGGGGGATGCAGGTTTGAAGGGCCCATTTGTTGATTTCCTCTGCAAAGTCACAAGACAGCCTCAATCTTTCAACCTTGCAACCCTTCATTGCCACTGCCAGAGTTTCCTCATCCGTTTCTTCACTTGTTTGTTCTTCCCAAAGGTTCAGTGCATGTTTGCCGTTTTGATTGAGGTGGGTTCTCTTTAAAAATCGCCTGCAAACTTGCCGGTGCGATAGCCCGGGAATGAGACATGGAATGAGCCCGGGGAAAAGAAAGGCACATCCCCGATTTGGAGCCTCCGAACGGTTCATTCCCAACACCTGGAACAGTCATTCCCTAGCTATCGCACCTCTCCCCCTCCCCCCTACCCCCTCCAGCAAGCGAACACCCGCCCTGATTTAGTCAGTTTGGGGACCGGCTCTTGACGTAAAACGAGCATCCCCCAAGAGGAGCAGCCTCTCAAACTGGGGCTCCCGTGGGTACAAGTTGCACACCTAGCGAGTGCTTGGTCTACTGCTTCAGTCGGCGGCCTCACTAAAGGTTGTGACCCCTTTGGCTTACGTTTTCCTTTGTTTGGAGGGGTGGGTCCCTTTAACCTCGAAGAACAGAGTGCCTTGATAAGGCCCTCCCCAGATCCCTGGGCCGGATGACCAGCAACCAGCTAGAAGGTGATAAACAACACATCGAGGCATTCCCGTTTTCGAGGGTGCCCTTGTTGGGCTGCCAAAGGGCACGACCATGTTGTGGGGTCACATGGACATCTGGTAGTAAGTCCCCCTTTAAATACGACTTTAACGACTTTCCCTACATACATGTTCTTTCCCCGTATCAAAACCCCCTGTGATTTCCCTTTATGCTGTTTCCAACACTAATGAAAGTAGGTAAAAGCATCTTGGACGACTTAATCCTCATGCAGAGGCCCCTTACCCATTTCCATGAGTCGAAGGGCCCCCTTCCTCCAGCCTTTCCCCTCCCCTCCCCCCATTGAAAACAAGAAATCTCGCTCGGAAGCCCTTCGACCAGACGATTCCTTCCGAACCTTTATAGATGCGGCTTGTTTTCTCCTTCCCAGCAAGGACTCACTCGCAACAGCGAATGTACCGAATCTGGCCTTCCGCTTTTGGCGTATCAACCTGTTCAGCTTCAATGGCCAAGGTTTGGAGAGGGGCTTCAAGTTCCGCCCTCGGCAAAAAAATCGATCGATTTCCATGGCGCAGGATGTCCGAGTTGCTGCTGAAGGGGCCCTCCGGAGAGTTGCTGAGCAGCTCGGTGAGGGTTTCACCTCGGGGCTGGGTCTTTCCCCATGCCGTCGGATTTAGGAGAAACCTGTCCGGTAGATTTTTCGGAAAACATCGGGGGACATCCCCCCATTCCTATGGTTGTCAGGGCCGTTTGGGTGTGGCTCAAAATTAAACAGGAGGGTCAAACCGCGGGTTTTGGTCCATGTTTCCACTTACCAGGGTTCCATTTTGGTACCGGCTTTTTGAGCCACAGCCATTTCAAAGAGGGGAACCCCCCAAAGGATCAGAAAGTGATAAGCCCTGTGGATGGTTGCGAAATCCATCCAACGCACCACGAAATGAAACCATGGGTTGAAACCACTTGTTTGTTGGTATTCACAGGGGACCTTTCCTTCCAGCAGCATTGTACGCAGCATTTGTTTCGCTGTTACCACCTGTATACTTTTACGCTGCTACCCTTGCGGTCTCTTCCTTCCCGGGTTTCTTGGGTGGTGCAGGATTTCGTCCATTCACAAGTGTATACCGGGTTTTCCCCTCCAACAGTGATGAATCCCCAGTAAAAGGGGACACCCCCGTTATCAATGGGTTCCCCGCGCCTACAGGAGCCCCTGCAATTTGGCACAGCAGCCAAACATGCAATGTTCGGGAACAGCTGTCGCACAGCGATGGCAGAACCCGCAGTTTTTGTCAAACAACACGACACCCCTGACGTCGGCCCCTAGCTGCCTCAGCTTTTGTCCGTCCGTACACAACATCCGTGGCTTGCTGCGCAAAGCTTGTTGGGCCATCGATGCAAAAGCCGCGCGCGCAAAAACCGCCGGAACTTGGGGGGGTTGTGGTTCCCCCCTTTTTGCTTCGTGAGTTTCCATCCCCAGACGCTAAATCAAATGTGAGGCCCATTACCCCCCTCCCCGCCCACCCCCAGCCAACGTTGGCCATTGTGACAGGCAAGCATGCACTGCACATGTTGTTGGCACACGCGCTATGTTAATTGTATTTTATTGTTGTAGCGACTCGCAAAGGAAACCAGCCAAAATTGCAAGGGCTCCGAAATAGGCATGGGTACCTAAAACATGGTCTAAGTCCAACCAGAGTTTCCTTTTTCTGTGAACATATCACTGGGTGGGCCCCAAGTTTTATTTCCTAGGCGTGGCGGTGGCAAGGTGCCCCGTCGGTCGGTTGCTCGGTTGGTTGGTTTGGTCGGTAACTGGGTGCTTTTTGTTGGCCTTTGCGGTTGTTGCGTGCTTTTGGCTTTCCACATCCTTAGCGTCACTACCTAAACCACCAAAAGTTAATCCTAAGCAAACTCTAAGCAAATCCTAGGCCAACTCGAACCCCACCCGAAACCAATCCTAAAAGCGCACATGAAGCCAGCACAAATGACTAAGCAAACCCTTTCCCAGCCCTAGAACCACCCTAAACCCACACTGGACTATCCCTAAAAACCACCCCAAACCAACCCTGAAGCCTCACGGAACCGGGACCCTACAGAAACCTGAAGTCCCACCCCAACCCCAAACCAACGTCCTGACCGCCTTCGACCTCGGGCGAGCCACTCTGCCGCCAACTTGGGCAGGGACATTGAGGAGGTTGAAACGGTGGTCGCGAAAGCGCTGCCTATTGGCACAGCAATGCAGGAGGAAGCGGTGGACGAGTGGCAGCTGTCAGGAATCCTGGGCTTATGGATAGGGCAGGAGTTCCGGGCGGCCGTCAAGACACAGCAAGACTTCTTTCAAGCCATGGGCAGGCTGCCCAAGCACATCCTGGAAACTTTCGACCAGCGTTGTGTCTCCATGCCCACGAAGATCCTCACCTACATCGAAGACGGAGAAGAAGCAATCTCCAAGGCGCTTGCGGTGCAAGAAGTGTGAGTAGAGAAATGGCAAACAAATTCGTCAGGCAGTATTCTATCAAAGGAAAAAGGCTCCTGCAAGAGTGTAGCTAAAGCCTCTTCGTCGTCCCCTTAGCAATGTTCGTGTTTGGATGAGTCGCTCAAGCGCAAGCTTTGGTCTGTCCTTTACGGTTCTCAAAGGTTCCGTTTTTTTTTTTTTTTATGTCTTTGAGGGTCTCTGTCCGTCACGGTTCTTACTGTCGCGGTTCTTTCTGGTCGCTTTTTCCACGTCGTTGCAGTTCTCTGTCCGTCACATGCAATCACATGTGTCAATTCTTTACTGCTGTGTGTGTGTGTGTGTGTGTGTGTGTGTGTGTGTGTGTGTGTGTGTGTGTGTGTGTGTGTGTGTGTGTGTGTGTGTGTGTGTGTGTGTGTGTGTGTGTGTGTGTGTGTGTGTGTGTGTGTGTGTGTGTGTGTGTGTGTGTGTGTGTGTGTGTGTGTGTGTGTGTGTGTGTGTGTGTGTGTGTGTGTGTGTGTGTGTGTGTGTGTGTGTGTGTGTGTGTGTGTGTGTGTGTGTGTGTGTGTGTGTGTGTGTGTGTGTGTGTGTGTGTGTGTGTGTGTGTGTGTGTGTGTGTGTGTGTGTGTGTGTGTGTGTGTGTGTGTGTGTGTGTGTGTGTGTGTGTGTGTGTGTGTGTGTGTGTGTGTGTGTGTGTGTGTGTGTGTGTGTGTGTGTGTGTGTGTGTGTGTGTGTGTGTGTGTGTGTGTGTGTGTGTGTCTGTGTGTGTGTGTCTGTGTGTCTGTGTGTCTGTGCGTCTGTGTCTGTGCGTCTGTGCGTCTGTGCGTCTGTGCGTCTGTGCGTCTGTGTGTGGTGTCTGTGCTGTGTCTGTGCTGTGTCTGTGCTGTGTCTCTGTGTGTGTCTGTGTGTCTGTGTGTCTGTGTGTCTGTGTGTCTGTGTGTCTGTGTGTCTGTGTGTCTGTGTGTCTGTGTGTCTGTGTGTCTGTGTGTCTGTGTGTCTGTGTGTCTGTGTGTCTGTGTGTCTGTGTGTCTGTGTGTCTGTGTGTCTGTGTGTCTGTGTGTCTGTGTGTCTGTGTGTCTGTGTGTCTGTGTGTCTGTGTGTGTCTGTGTGTCTGTGTGTGTGTGTGTGTGTCTGTGTGTGTGTCTGTGTGTGTGTGTCTGTGTGTGTGTGTGTGTCTGTGTGTGTGTCTGTGTGGGTGTGTGGGTGTGTGTGTGTGTGTGTGTTTGTTTTGAGTTTTTTGTTGTTGTTTGTAAATTTAGCTTTTTATGTTTCGTTTATTAAGATATTGCATCCCATGAACCAGTGTGGGTCACTTTTGCCACACGTTCCTTTTTGAAATCATTCTAACGGTTTCTGACGATTTCTGACGGTGTTTGTGGGGTTCTGTCGGTTTCTGTCGGTTTCTCCGCGGGGCCTTTACGATCTGTTCCCCTACGATCTGTTCCCAAAACTTGCTTTAACCATCTAAACCCACCCCAACCAGCCCTCAGGCAACCTCAAGCCTCCCTAAATTAAAGAATCCCACCCCCAAATCTCGACCCCAAACCCTCTCCCAACCCTTGTCCAACACTAAGCCTACCCTAAACCAACCCTAACCCACCATAAACTCCTCCAAAACAGCAGAAACACAAGCCCCGCCCCAACCATCCGCAACAATCCTCGAACCCCGAAACCAAAGCTTCTGGTGATGCCGTGTTGGAAACGATGCTGACTGTGCGAATTGCGTCATGTTAGCGCCCGGGAAAACACGGCCAACCGAACCTACGAAGAAACCATGTCCGCCATCAACGGGATATGAAAAATGAAACTCGGAGACCCTCAAATTGCCCTCAAACGTAGCTTTCCATTTACAGAACTCAAAAGAGAGCCAAATTTGTTTCTGGTGTGGGAACTAGTGACTCAATTGTTCAAAACCGACCTTTAATCTGTTGTTTTTCAGTTTTGGTCGGTAGATTGGATTCTAACTGGGGAAGCAGTGGGCTTTCCATTGGACCCAGAAAAAGTCAAACTTGTTGGCACAGGATTCAACAGCAACCAAGAAAAGGCGACGCTTTTGTTCTAGGTCCTTTGTCAGCCTACGCCCATGACCCAAGGGGAGCCATGTTCCACAACATGTTTCCTTTTTCTTCTTGTTTAATCTGGTATGAACAGGTATTTTTACCCCAAACAACTCAC